TGTTGCTGTGTGGACTTCAGGGCTCTTAACAGCATAACCGAAAAAGACTCATACCCACTGCCAAGAATTGATGATACTCTTGATGCCCTAAGTGGAGCCAGGTGGGTTTCAACTCTGGACTTAAAGTCAGGTTTCCATCAAGTAAAAATAGATAAAGCAGATGAACCCCACATTGAAGCAGAAGCCAACGAGACGGAGACCAGTATGGAAGAAGATACGTCCTGTAAAATTAAGAGACTTTGTTGAATTTTAATTTTGTGTTTGTAAATTCTGTACATTTAATTATGTTATTGTTACTTGTTTATTGGTTTAATGTAAGTGACTATTGTTCTGGACGAACAATACTAAGGAAGGGGCAGTGTTACGACAGGGGGGTCACGTGACGAGTATTCTAGAAGATTCGCTAGTGTGTTACGACAGCGGGGTCACGTGACGAATATTCTAGAAAATTCTCTAGTGTGTTGCGACAGTGTTGCGTCAACTGACGCTGGTAGCACGTGTTGGGAGTCTTAGAAGTTTCTAGAACAGGCAGTATTATCGTATATAAGTGCGCTAGACAGTGAGATAGACAGACAAAGTCGAAGCAATAGTCGAGACAAAGACAGAGACGTAGCGGAGACGAAGCAGGCAGGGAGAAAGAAAGACAGCGGTTATGGTCAGTGGGAACTGAGGATAGCAGACACAGAGATCGGAACTATAGTTTGTGGGGACGGACAATTAAGTCTAAGCACGATAGAAAGTGAGTGAATTGTTGTGAACTATAGTGTGTGTAACTGTGAAAATTAAGTACATTACAAAGTTGTATTGAGGAAGAATAAACAAGTTTTATAAAGAAAGGACTTTATCCTGTAAGAATTAACAAGCAAACATACAGAGACGTAACAGTATCCATGTCTTCTTTCTGTTCACCAAATTTGGGCAGCTTGAGTTGGCTGACCCTGACCCCATTGTTATTCTTGGGTCCCCCATCTTTTTGTTGGGTGAGCTTGAAAATCTCAATTTCTACTCTTATTCTCTCTATTTCCAGTCTCTCCTCTCTTTCTTTTTCTTCTTTCTCAATTTCTGCCCTCATTCTCCCTCTCTTTATTTCCAGTCTCTCATTTCTCTCCCTTTCTTTCTCTC